ATTTATGCTTTGACAAATGATTGATCAATGCATATTTTCATTGATAATAATGTACAAAAAGCACATCAATAAAAAAGAAGTAAATTTGTATTCAAGTGGGCTTTTGATAAAAAAAGACATAATCTTTATTGGAATTCATGTTTGCATCCATTACAGCTAAAAGTCAGTGTAAAACTAACCCAATTTTACAATTTATAAGAACGGTTTTACACTCTACATATTTACATTCAAACTTTTTTGAATGGTTTCCAAACACAGCCCAAGTAATCAGGTCCCATCAAAGCTTTCCTTTGTGCAAATAATAATTGGCTAAAAGACTTAATCCTCCTTTCATATTTCTCATAAATACTAAATCTTTCCCTCAATCTATTTTTAAAATGGACTAATCCCCTGTTAGAGTTATATTTAACTGAATTATCCAAAAGTCCCTTTTGACATTGCTAATTCTTCAAAATTTCAAAACAAATCTATCTTTGCCAAAAATCGTGCTGGGCATTTATCTGACTTCTCCTCATAACCAAAATGTGGCTGCTCTAAATACTATTAAGACACAATCCAATAATGCCCATTACAAGGAAAGAAGTGTTTACACAGGTTTTGAAGAACAAAGAAATTAGAAAAGGACTCAAAAGAAAAATTCTTTTGATAAATTCTATTATTAAGATAAAAAGTTGTTTTAGATTTAAACTTCTTTTTATCTCTTTCTCGTCCTCCTTTCTCTCTTTCCATCTCTCCCTGTTCTCTATTACCAATGCTGAACATGGAACTTGATTGAACAAGTTGGAATTTCTTGGTCACAGCATGTTCTGAATCATTCCTAGGTTGCAACCTTGAATGAATTTCTAGGTATTCACTTCTTTTCTCTTGTAATAATAAACCAGATTTGGTTGAATTTCCTAGCAAAAGGAGGAAAATTATTTTACACTATATGGCTTTCCATGCAAAAAAGGGCAAAACTGGGTTTTTAAAAATTTTCACCCAATTATAAGGTCACATGTAAACAGATTCTTAATGGAATGCTAAAGGAGGGGAGGTCTTTGTCCCATGAATTACCCAAGAGGGGAGGCTTATATCCATTTTAAAAAGATAGGGGAGGTTTTAGTATTTAGGTCAAAGATGAAGGGAGGTTCAAGTCTTTTACCCATAATAATTCTAAGTAATTTGCATGTTTCTTTCTTTTCTCTTTATCAATTATACTTATTCATGTACCTTCTCCCAGAAATTAACTCTGGCTATAAACTAATAAGATGATGATCCAAAACCTGGACCAAACGTGAGGAAAAAGGTTAATTGGAAATGCATTTGGTATTCGTTATTCTAAGAATTTATCTCCAATTTGTGGTTAAAATACCCCTATGAACACTGAGTTTTTTAACTGCAGAAAGGAGAGAAGTCCTTAAAATAAGGAATGCCAAATGCAGCATTAGCCATCATCGCCGCCAAGAAAAGGTTATCATCCTCGATACACTTTTTGATAGTCTTCTTATAAGGTAGATATAGGTTAGTCATGCTYCTTTGTCTAGCTTTTTTCTTTATTTTTTTTTGGGAAAATCTATGATACCAGAACAACATGGTTTTGAAAGAGATTTGACCAATCAAAGCATTCCTGTGAATTGTGATGAACACCACCTGATCGATTGGTCACCTCTTTTATAATATCGGTTGATTGGAGGTCAGTTTTTCCAATATCATGTCTTTCTGGTATTATAGTCGAATCCTTTTTTTTTTCCTGAGGGATTAGGTAAGATTTTCCAACTATAAAAGTAAGATTGGAAAGCTACTGGCCGGACCCCTTGTATGGCTTTCTTTTTGTTTTTTGTTTAACTGAGTGAGATGTAAGGTAGAATTTAGTAAGAAGGAAAGAAAAAACAAAAGCACAGAAAATGACATCAATTTCATAATTAAATACAATGAATCTATCCAATGATGAGATAGTTTGAATAAGAGACAGTTCAGTGCACGAGGCTCCTACTAATGCAGGATATATCATATATTCAACTTTACTCCTGCACATACGGAGAGGTTGTTTCCAAGATATGGACCCTGGCTGCAATGCTAATTTGATGTATTCCAGGGGCATTTGCATTTCTCTTCTATAGAATATAAGATAGAGGCCTATGCATATAAGCACTTCATGATGCTAAATCATTGATATGACTCTGATGTGTCACAGATTTCTAAAAAATTAACATTGGTCCCAAACACTCACCAATCCTATTCATCTGTCCATCCACCTCCTCCAAACATGAGACCCACACTTTTACAGTGGAGCCCATAAATTTATTATGGGCATGGAACATACAGCCTATACGTTCAACTAATCCCAATTCGAATTTAAGGCATTACAAGTACAGTGAAAAAAAGTCAAAATTTTTTTTGTTAGTTAGTTTTGTACCCTTTTATCATGCATTATTTGCACACATGTATAACATCTGTCCATTCTAAACCCAACAAGCTTGTATCAAATTATTCATATCTTTGAACCTTAACTTTTCCTAGAGTATCATATTAATCATGTTTCAAATTTGTTATTTCTTTCAAAATTTCTAATTTACACAGGATTTATAACATCTATAAAATAAATAATATAACTGTAAAATTAATATGAAATATAAAAGTATTAATAAAATAAACCTTTAGTGAAAAGAAAAAAGTTTCGCCCAAGATTTTTAATGTTTAAATTATTTCAAATTTTTAATGTTTAAAATATTTCCGAAAATTAATTTTTTGAAGCGTCACTAAAAGGTAGGTAATGCTGTGATACACCGTGTTGGAAAGTTTAGGAATGGGAAGGCCCATTTGGATGGTTCACTTCAATTTTCAATATATAGTAGTGTTAAAAGGGTATAAAGGGTCTTTGTGTAAAAATATGTTAGCCAACAGCGCTAATCTATATCTATATAATGTATATTAATTGGTAATTAATTTAAAATATTAAAATTAGTAAAATTATAATCTTATCTTTTCATTTAATTAATAAAAAATAAAGCATGATTAACACAAATTATCATAAACAGGATTATATTAGCTCTACCTCCATAATGAACCGCTGATGATATCATTGTATCATTGTTGAGTTTTGTTTGACAAAGGCCCTAATTAGTTTGATGGCATGCATCGCTATTAATTTGTTTTTATATATACGCATAAGGAATCATTAAACAATAATATAAAATTAGCACACTATTTAAATACTTTCTAGCTTTAAACACTTTTATCATTCTTGGTTATTGACAATGAGGCTTTAAACAAGTCAAACTTTCTGTTTAGAGATGATAAATAGAACCCCCCTCGAAACCACTATTCATCATCTCAACGGCGGCGGTGAATCCATTCTGGTCTCCACCTCCAATCTCTCATCTCTCTTTTTTTCTCCCACACCATCTCTCTTTCTTCCTTTTTTTTTTTCTTCTTCTCCTTATTCTTCACTCTTTCCCTTTCCCTATTCATCATCGTCGTTGCAACGGCAGGTTCAAACCAGCAATAGTGGTGAGTGGCGGCATTGAACAGGAATAGTGACTGAGGAAGAAAAAACATATTTGCGATCCTAGAGTTCAATCTCTATGGCAAGGTTGAGGACTGAGGAAGAAAAAATAGGAACGGTGAGTGGCAGGCAAGGCTGCATACCAGCAACCAAATCTGGGTTTCAATCCTAGAGTTCGACCTCTGTGGCAGTGTATTCGATCCTAGATTTGCGAACTAACAACAGGTCCGCCGGCCACTTTTCCTCACTGTCGATCATCATCGTTGTTGCAGCGGCAGGTTCAAACCAGCAACAGTGTAGTGGCATTGAATAGGAATGATGACCGAGGAAGAAAAAACATATTTACGATCCTAGAGTTCGATATCTGTGGCAAAGCTGAGGATTGAGGAAGAAAAAACAGGAACAGTGAGTGGCAAGGCTGCATTCCAGCAACCAAATCTGGGTTTCGACCCTAGAGTTCGACCTTTGTGGCAGTGTATTCGATCCCAAATTTGCGAACTAACGACCGGTCTGCCAGCCACTTTTCCTCTCCGCCAATGGTCGCCGGTGGACCTGCAACTAGTGCGCCGCTACCTAGTAGTAGAGATGTTCGAATGAATGGAGAAGTATAACCCTCGTGCGGGGGTATTTTAGGTATTACAAAAAATTACTAGGGACTGGTTCGTCCCATTTTTTAGAGAAGTACTTCTTCAAAAATTATTGAAAAAAAAGCCAACTTGAAGTCATTTTTTTAAAGTACTTCTTCCCCACTTTTACCAAACACAAAATCACTTAATAACCACTTAATGTGTGGTCCCAGCTCTTAAGAGAAGTACTTATAAGTGTTCTCAAACAGGGGCTTAGTGGTGTGCACAATACTGTTCTTTGCAGTTCAGTATGTGTACAAGTGTCTGTCCATGGTGTTTTTGAGAATTTCTCTTTGATGATCCATAAGAGTTTGATAATTTCATGTATTTAAAATTTTGCAAGCTGGATGGCCTTATGGTGTATTTTGAGAATCTCTTTAACCGTTCCCCAACTATTAGTATTTTAAATGATTTGTCTTGCACTATTTATTCTTTTATTATTTTTTTATTTCTCCAAAGCGCTCTTAGAATTTTGCTTAACAATGCACTCATGGTTGCTTGAAAATGTTCCTTTATCTTGTAGTTTTTTTTTATTCTTTAATTTTATTCAATAATAAAATTAAAGAATAAATGCTTCATCTTAATTCTTTTATGTTCATCCCCATGCATTTGCACGGGTTCCCTGCTAGTTTATTCTTCAAATCTGGGAGTGTATGAAGTGTAGCACATAAGTATATGTGATATTCACTAATGTGCAAATAAATGCAAATTATATGTGGCAATGTTCACATTTCCACAGTTTATCTTTTTCAAAATTCAATTAATATTCTTTATATTTTTCAGAAATGATACTCACAGTGATGGTGGAAAAACTCAAAAAGCTTACTAGCAGGTCAACTTGTATCATGAAAGTCATTGTTTAATRATACAGATGCATGCTAAATTTTCAGGGCGAAGCTCAGTTAAATTTGTTGAAGAAGGAAATAGAAGACTACACATCCAGATGTGCGGTGGAAGCTAAAAGAATGCTAGAAGATGTTCAGAGGGAGGAACATAACTTGGATTTGGTGGAAAAAGAATCTGAAGAATTTTTGAAGGTACATACTTTCCTTGGACTTATCATTCACAGCACCAACTAATGGGAATTGTTGAAAGAACTATAACAGGCTCTAATTGATCCAACATTTTTGTTCAGACCTCCAAACTAAAGTTGCATGACGTTATCAAACAATGTGATGAGGAAACCCAGATGTGTGCTCGGGAACTGCTTATGCTGATTGATACAGTCTCAAAGCACAAAGAATACATGGAGTCAACAATATCCCAGATGAAGAATGAACTCTTAGAAACTACTGGAGCTGTTGCAGATGCTCACAAGGCCTCCTTGAAATTACAGTTTGGTAGTATTTTCAACTAATCTATTTTTTTTTTTTTTTGTGTGTGTGAAGACAGTATTTTTAATTAATCAGTACTTATAGATGCATTCTCAATGCATGGTGGTAAGCTGTTTTTTTTTTTATCAAAAAGCATGGTGGTATGTGAATGTGAAGTCTCAAAATTGAAGAGTCATCTCTTCATCTCTTATAAACGGCTGTAACTGTCAAAATTGCTTGTCCTACTTTTTCTGAAGTAATCCATGGAGTTGTAAAGAATTTGCACAAATCTATATATCAGATATCAGAATTGTCTATCAACCAGCATCTCACCCAAATTTAGTCCTATTATGCTATCTACATGCTAGCACGCTCTAGGATTATGCCCCAAGCCTATTTGGTCCATGGAGGTTGGAGGATTGTTGATTTCTTCTAACAGTGCTCTTATTGGAATCGATGCCCATAGGTCAGACATGGTACTTCCCACTTCAAACAAAACTAAGGAGTTTCATGGCGTAAAGAACAATTCCAATCAGTATGGTTCGTTAGAAATGAAGGCAAATGGAGCGTATTTAGGCAATCTGGGATTGGGAATAGCAGCAATAGTAGGTCATTCAACTAACATTGTCACTCAACGGATGAAAAGCTGAAAACTCGCTGAATCATGGTTTTATTGGTACAACCACTGGTTAGATTGTTCAGCCCGTAATTACATAAAAGACCACCGGATCTGGGATCATCTAAGAATACTCTAGAGAGGGAACTTGCATGTGAAAAGCTTTAGATTCTGAAAGGCAATGTTGTATTTGTAAGACTTGGATCAGACTAAGGCCACGTTTGGCATTCTTTATTTTAACGACTTGTCTCCTTTTCCTGGTTAAAATGCCCCTATAAACACTGAATTTTTAACAGCAAAAAAAAGATAAATCCTTAAAATAAGAAATGCCAAATGCAGCCTAAATACTAGAGGATTGTCCCATCCAACCTGTAAAAAGCATCACTTTACCAGGACCCGGAATAGTCATTGGATCAGCGGGTCACCGGTTCTGTCCGGTCCAGTCCAGCCTATAAAAGGGTATTTGTTGCCCACCACCATGTAGATATGTATATATCCACAGAAATCACTCTAACTAACCAAAAAAGGGTAAGGCCCTCGTTAACTCCTCACCATGAGAAACTTCTCACACACCGTTAAATGATCACCTGAAGACCATCAATGGACCTTAGTTCATAAGGCATTAAGGACAAACTCCCAATGCTTACAAAAGGACGAATTCATTTAAGGACAATGGTAGCAATTTTGTATATAGCACAAACGTTATTTCAGGATGACACTCACCATAGCATGAGATGGCACATGAGTTAGGGTGGAGGGAGGGATAAGGTAGAGGCCCTTAGAAATTGGTCACCCAAGTATTTTGTATCTTTGTGATGGAAATCACCTAGTCTGACAGAAAAAATCGGGAACTGGTCACTTGACTGGTTTTGTTTCACCCTATAACTGTTTTTTGGCCAAAAACTGTTGGTTTGCTGATCTGAGCGGTCAAACCATCAAACCGTCAACTTAAATAATGATTTTTGACCTTTTCTTTGTTTGTTATCAAAACGGACCATCCATTCAAACCGAATGATTGAACCATTCGACCCATGAACAAGTCGCTAGAACAATTCCCTGTCCAATCCAATTTTCAAAACCTTGGTATGAGGCCATGTGCATCATTCCTTTAGGGGAAGGACCAACACCCAACCTAGGAGACTTCTTACCTCACAATGGATCGTCGCAGCCAAAGTGAGATGTGTGGATCGTTTAAGCCAAGGGACGAGGCACTAGGCATTGGTGAAAGAAATAACAACAAAGCCACATGATCAAGGGACTGCGACATGATGGGACAGAGTTACTTCACTTAAAAGAGGAAATGATGGACAGGCAAATAGCCATGGAATACTAGATGCCCTTTCATTTGACCAACCCAAGATGGGGGGGCGCAGGTTGTGTGTTTACAATTAAAAAAGCATATCATACAAAGACATAATAGAGGTTTAGCCAAACCTAAACCTACATTCTCTTTTCAAACAACCTCTTGAGATATACAAGTATGATATATCAGCAATTGATTTAACAACAATTCGAAAATTGTGACTATAACTATATATCCCCATGGTTAATCATAATTGTCACTAACACTCCATTTGAAAGGAGTACAAATACAATATGTATAGTGCAAAACTTTATATTTTGAATTATTGTGTATATTTATATTGTACATATATGTATTTGTACATACAAAATATAAGGTTTTGCATTCTACATATTTGCATTTGTATTCCTTCCAAATTGAACTTGTTTTCACTATAGACTCTTGGCAGTCGGTCAATCTCCGAAGATCTGGAGATGGCGATGGGAATGAGGAGGTAGAGAAGAGAGACAAAGAGAGGAGAGAGAGAGAAAGAGGGCTTCATTGAGAAACCCTAGGTCAGAGTTATATTATGTTGTCTCCCTGGGTCAATCTCCGAGTGCCTTCATTGTATTCCTAACTTTTCCTACACCATCCCACCTACCAACAGCAGCGTACATGTTTGAAAGAAGCACATAATTGGAATCACAGCTAGGATCCAAATCAGTTAGATAACTCATCAGTTTTTCAGCTAAACTGAGATTCCCTCGATTCCTACATGCAGCCAGCAATGAACCCAATATAATTTCATTTGGCTTCATGGGCATGCTTTCTATTATATGCAACGCATCTTCCAACTGACCAGCCCTGCTAAGGAGATCCACTATGCATCCATAGTGCTCAATTCTAGGGGTAATTTTGTAAATCCTCTTCATCATATCATAGAATTGGAGGCCCTCATCAACTAGGCCGGCATGGCTACAGGCAGTAAGAGCTCCCGTAAAACTCACTCCATCTGGTTCAAACCCCTCCTGCATCAGAGAGAAGTATTCTAGAGCATCCTCTGCATATCCATTAACAGCGGAGCCCACAATCATCGAGTTCCATGAAACCAAGCTTCGTTTAGACATTTTCTCAAACTCCTGTTTTGCGAATTCAATAGATCCACACCTTGCATACATGTCTATCAACGAGTTGCTTAACCGGATGTTCTCACCAAACTCCCGTTGCAATACAAAACGGTGTATCCATAAGCCAAGCCCAAGTGCCCCCAAGTTTGCACATGCTGAGAGGACAGAGGTGATGGTCACATAATCAGGCTCTATTCCTGAGAACTGCATTTCTCGCTCTCTCTCTCTCTCTCTCTCTTCTTTTTCTTTATTCCTTCTTTTTCCTCCTATTCTTCTCTTCTTCTTCTTCCTCTCCTTCTCCATATTCACATCGCTCTCAAACCGTTGTCCAACTCTGCTCTCCGACCATAGAGGAGACTTCGCAGCCACAACACCCGCCCAGTCTTCCTTCCATTTTATCCTCTATCATCTACATTGACTCCCTTCACCATTCTCAGCCTCCTCCAACTATTTACAGACCCCCCATGTTTTCCTCCTTTGGTTGAGCAAAACTGAAATCGTCGGTCATCACCTGAACCATTTATTAAGGTATCAGACAGGAGTCACACTTGGAAGAACGCCCCCTCTCACTCACTTCCTAGTTGCAAGCACCGATCATTACGACTACCGTAGCTCGAAGAAGGGAGTCAGTGTAGCATGAGATCAAAAATTAACCGTGGAGGGGACATATCCACGAGTTTTTCCCGTTGACGCTATATTGGGGTGTGGACAGGGCTGGTCCATGATATAGCACGGACTGGTCCCATCCACACCCAACCGAACGGGTCTTCATCTCGTGGACGGGACCGAAATGGGATGAACGCAGTGCCAAACACCACCTAAGTTGTCATTGGTAAATGTTTTCAATACATAGTTGGGATATGCTGTGGGGCAGTTGTAGGAAGCAAATGTGAATTCACCATGGTGCCATTGGAGTTGAATCCAACATATCTAACAAAAAAAACAAGACAAACATATCTAACAAAAGAAAAAGTGTTGAATTTGACATGGGTCTATGTGTTGTATTATCTATATCTATACTATATAAAAGTGTGAATGTATTGTGAAATTCTTTCTGAATTAAAATTATCCTCTATTTCTTTGTTTGAAAAAGGGTATAAAAGTCCTTTTAATATAATTTTAATGTCAGTTTTAACGACTATTAAAATTCTCATATTATGTATTTAATCTATCTCTAATTGTAAGGGATGAAAATATAACTTCAATTATTAATTTCCACCTCGTTTAATTCCCTCTCATTAAATCTTATACTTAGGCTATGTTTGGTTTGAAGGAAAAAAGTAGGGAAAGGAAGGGAAAGACAGGTTTCGTTTAAACCAAACATAAACTTAAGGTATTAAATTTCATTTTCTCTTATTAAATCTTATATTTAAGTTATTTTTCACTAATAAATGCTATTAATTAGATATATGCCAATATTTTTATTAATATAAACTCATATATTTTAGAGCTAACTAAAAAATAAAACCATTTTTTATCCAAGTGGTGACTAAGCAATTCAACCATCCAAATCAAATTGATTAACCTATGAAGTCATAGTTAGGTAATAAAATTTTTAAAATAGAAATAAATATAGAAATTTTCAAAAATATAGAAAAAATTAGACACATTTATGATATTTTTATTAGTCAAATTAAAAAAAAATAAGTTCAATAAACAATAATAATTTTTATTGACAATGAAAATGAAATACATAATTTAGAATTGGCTAAAAATGAAAATTAAAAATTAATAATAAATAGTTCAACTTTTGGGTTAAATGTGTTAAGTTTAATATCAAAAATAAATAATAAAAATTAATAAAATATAAATATATAAATGAAAAAAAATATATAAATTTTGCAAAAAAAAGCATTCAAGCACATGTGTAATATCATATATTTATCATATTAAACAAAAAGTAAATATGACATATCATAATTATTTTTACAAAAAAAATATAGAAAAAATTGAATACATCTATAATTCTATGTTTACTCTTTTATTAAAAATATGAATAAGATTGTAAAACTATCTTTTGACTAAAATACTCATTTTTGAATTTAGTCCTTATTTAATTGTAAGGTTTAAATTATAAATTAAACTACTACTTTTCACTTCATTCAATTCCCTCTATTTAAATCTTACATTATTTTTGATAAACAAATAAAAAAAGAAGATTCACCAAAAATATAAAAGATTACAAAAAGAGTAGTTTAGCCAAGTAGGTAGCTCTGTCAATGATACTTGAAACTTCACAACTTGATCTGATTATCACACATTTGGATGAGGTATTTATGTAATCATATTTGGAATTTGCAATATGCATTGAATTAGTAATAAAAACAATATATATATATTATAGAATATATATAATACATACAATACATAAAGTTTACAGAAAATTTGGATATTATTACTATCATTATCATCATCTAGAATTGCTATGTGCAAAACACATGCACACTTACTAGTTTAGGGTAAAAGACTTAAACATACCTTGAGTTTTCATAAATTGATTTAATAAACATGTCCTATATTTTTCAAAAAAAAAAACTTAAATATACCATGTAAGTTAACCCTACAAGACTTAAACATACCCTCCTTCAATGAAAAAGCATGTATGAGATCATTTAAAACTTTTAAACTCCTATTTCATCCATCTTAGAAGAAGAAGAAGAAGAAGAAGAAGAAAATGGAGAAGAAACAAGTGGGATGAGAAGAGAAAAAATGACCAATGGACTGGTTTAGTTAACAAAAAAAGAGGACAAAGGAAGGAGGGAGAGAGAGAGGACAATTAACTACTGCACCAATCTAATGAAGATGGAATATCCAATTTCAGATAATGGTATTTATAATATCCAAAAGGTGTTGCGTTTAATTTTTGAAAATAACAATGATGAAGCACATTTTGGAAGCTCCCTGCTGGTAGGTGACTCGGATGCCTGGCTGAATAATCCCTACCTGGAATGTGGCTTGGATGCCTGGCTGAATGGTTCCTACCTGGAAGGTGGCTTGGACGCCTAGCTGAATGGTGAGGAGCTGGATAGGTGGCTCTGACGCCTAACTGAATGGTGATGAGCTGGAGAGGTGGCTTTGACACCTAGCTGAATGGTGACGAGCTGGAGAGGTGGCTCTGATGGGACCAGCAAGGACACAATGTCAGAGTGCCTGGGTTGCTTTACCCGAGGTGGGCACTCCGATGCTTAAGTTAGCGAATCAGAGATTTTAAGATAACTAAATGTGAGAGAGCTAGAGAGCTGCGAGAACTAAATTGTGACTCTCCCCCATGGGTTGGAGGTAAGGCATTGTTTGGTGTGAGCAACACGCAACACGTCCGAGATCTTCTAGAGGACGTGCCTAAGTGCTCCGAAGTCCTTGGAGGTAGTCGTGCACGTAGGCCAATCTTTGCGCCTTACTCGGTTTCTCCCAAAACATTCGGTGTGAGAGCTGACTTTCGAGAGACCCGGGAGTGATGGGATGCATGCAGAAATCGACGGTGAGCACATCTCGTAGAT